TTTCATTAAATAACACTTGCTTGGAGGTCGCTCCTAGAAATATGGTCATCCATGTCCTCTCATGTTAATCTCTCGAGTCTCTTATTCGTCCTTTTTGTTAGGTTCATTTGCCTTTTCATCTACCATTCCCCTCCTTTTGCTGGGGGTGGGTACATGGTCCAAAAGATTTCAATTGAGTTCCGATCATCGAAAAATAGTAATGTACAAATAGAGTAAGAACAAGTATTTTCATCAATAAATAAATTGTTGAATCTTGTCGACTTAAAGAAGCTTCTAGCGTTTAAAGGTAACTCAAGAGTTTATTTAGGTCACAAGTTCATATTCCAAGTGTGATATTCTTGCATTTTTTCGAATTCCCTTGTTAAAATTCTTTGTTTAACTTAAGTTCTACTTTTGAATATATTGAAGTCTTGTCCAATTAGTAAAACTTAGCTGCAGGAGCGAAGCCAGAGCTCTAGTTACTGATTTGGTGGAAACAATTAGTTTTAGCCCAAAATTTTGTATTTTTATTAAGAAATCCACTTAATATGTATAAACAATTTATCTAAAATCCAGTAATTATCTTTCTACAATCCAGAACTCAAAACTCAAAATTCTGAATTCGTTTCTGCTTAATTGTAAGATGCAAAATGGATTCTAACCATTCTTGATGGTGTGCTTAATTTGTTTTCATAGGAGAAAGACTCTGCTGGAGAACAGAGGAAGTGGAACTATTAGAAGAGCTACATATGGAGTTGAAAGCAAAAGAAGAAGTCATTGCACATTTAAAAGAAAAAATTGCTTCAATGGAGAAACAAGAAGTTAAGAGGGAGAGGGAGATTGATATTTTGAGGCAAAGTTTGAAAATTATGAGTTACAACAAAAAGATTCCTAGCCTTTCTAAAGTTTTTTACAAAAACTAGAATTTTCTACGATGTTTGCATAGAATTTTCTACGATGTTTGCATCAGGATAGACTGTCTATATCGGACTCAATCTTGTGTGAACGCGAGATACTTTGTGCACCGAATTGATTGTTTATTAGAATTTCTATAATGCATTGCATGTAAAGATCATAGAAATACCAATATTTCTTTGGTTTCACTAAAGTATAAATGTGTACTCATATGATATGTACTTCTCATAAGGAACAATGTTACTTGCTAGCCTCATTTAGCAATTTAGTAAAAAATATGGTTAATTTATGACCAAAGGAACTGTTTTTTCGTAAAAGTAAATGATTGAGACGAGTTATGTCTAGCTACCTAGTTATTTATAAGTATCTTTTATCATATACTTTTTTATATATTTGTCTCTGTCCAATCAAATGCGTCTATAGCGTAGATAATCAGACTATGAAACTAGATTAGGGACCATGCTCCTCGTTTTTTCCTATGGCTACGTGCTATTATATCCTAAAGAATAAGAGTTCCATTAAGACTATTAACTAGTGATTTTATAAACACCCTCACTATATTCTTCTTATATTTTTGTCTTCGTCTAATCAAAGACGTCTATACCATAGAGAATCAAGCTCAGCAAAAACAAGACTAACGACCATGCTCTAGGCTTTCTTATGTTGTTATCAATATCATAAAGAGAAAGATAGTTTGTTGAGCATCAAATACTTTAAATGCTTGTGGAACCCTAAGCGCAGACATCTCGAACTTTGAAACTACCCTTCCATCGATATCGAAAGCAAAACTATTTGACTTATTTTTTTCTTTTTCTTTTTGGTTCATTTTATAAATAATCTAATGCGCAAACAAACACCAACAAAAAATAATTATAACATGCTTATATGATTAATAATAACATAGTGATAGATAATTCTTATTGGTTACAAATGCTTATATAACACATTAGTGAACAATAATTCTTTTATTTATTATTTTTAGTTCCAATTCCAAATGTGTTCTTCACCCCATCAACTGCATCTTGAGCCATGTGCATCATTTGCTCTCCAGTCTAAAACACAAACCAACAAGAAAAATAATTTAATACACCAAAAATATATTTTAAATATATTTTTTATAATCGCACTCCAGAGTAGTTTACGCACACCTCGACTGATCAATGATATCTAATAAAATTACCTGGTGAAGAAATCCAGAATTATGTTCCCTTTTTTGATGAGCTGATTCACAAGCTCTCTGGATTGCATCTTCAACTTTGCTAACAGAGTGATTTGCCTACCAAAAATTGCAAGTTTATAAGAGTAGAAGGAAAGAAAAAAAAAATAAGGTAAAAAATTAAGAATTTACCAAACAAATAATTTTTATATATATTTTTTTACGTCTGTTTCATTTTATACAATGGTGATTTGATTAAATGATGAGTTTAATCATATTTTTTCGTGCATATTAAAAGTATCCTTAGAATTTGTGATATTAAACATGTCCATATGCTTCTATGGTTATAAGAGTATATTGTTGAGGGTAAAAACTAAAGTTTAAAGTTTAAAATTTTCAAATATGGATAGATATAGTGTTTACAGTATAACTTCAATAGAACTCAGTACCTTTGACTCGACTTGTTACAACTCACAAGTTTAGAACCAAGTAAGCTCAAAATGGCTAAAATCTAGAAATCATAAAATTCAAATCTTGAATTGGCCTTTACTTTCAAATACATAAATGTATCATTCTTTTATCATATAAAATGAGATGGAATAAACCATAGATTCTAAGATATGATATTTCAACCTGAGCTTGGCTATGGGATTGATCAGGATTGCATTGAGCACTTGCCATATTGATCTTGATATATTATATAAAATTATATATACGTATATATATTAAATATATAAAACTCCTTAATTTTTTTTTATGTTTTTGGTATTCAATATATATGTATGTAAACCTTTTGGGCTAATGAGAAGTTTTTATAGAGAGATTCTTCAGTGATTGGTTTTTAGATAAATTGAAATGCACATTTTGCTGCTATGTTATCTGCCTTTTTGTGGCTAATTTTTGTTTGACATTGAGAAAAATATGTTAATCCATGCATGCTTTAGATATAATCATGTTTTATTTCATTCCATTTTTTTTGCATCTTTATCTCTTTTTTCTTTATAAGATAAAATCTAAAAAGTATTTGTTTATGACAAAAGATATGTTAAAGGGAATAAAATACAATTTTAAATAGGGAAAATGGTTCGAAATATACTCGAACATTGACCGAAATTGTTATAATAATCCCAAACTTTGGGCAAGACCTATTACCCATTACATCATTATAGATAGTAACTTGTCCAGCTGGGCACAAATATCAATATCGCCATAAGGTTGTAAATAAATCAAGATATTTGCAAAAGGGATCATAAACTTTTTTTCTTCTGAGAATGGTAACAAGTACAAAGGATACTAAATTCCTAATGTTTAAGTACATACACAAATGATGCCAACAATGTCAGTAAAGCTACTATAAGCTCAAGAAGAAAGTTAATTCTCCAGTTTTATTTCAGTCCTTTTCACGGATGTGTACTCAGAAGCAACAACGCGCAACCACAGAAACAAGACACTGGTCATTGGGAACATTCACTCGAGTACTCAACTTCAAATGGTCAAAATATTCCCGAGGGAGATTCCCATAGCACGCACTCAATGGATTAGTAGACGAGCACACAAGCTGGCCAGAACACCACCATTATGAAAGGAAGGGTAAAACTTGGGATAGAAAGCAAGAATTTCAATCTTTCAAACAAAACCAAACATGCATTGTTTACTTACTATACATGAACAGCTGAAAGACATAACCTAGACGAGCATTTTGAAATGCCTGAGTGTTCTTGCAATACCTATGAAATTGTATTAACCTTCCAACATTAGGGTAATATGCAAAGTACTGGCAAACCAAAAAACAAGTTTCAAGAATGGCATAAGTTTTATGCTTCTGATAAGTACGAACGGCATATATTAAACTAAGCCACCACTGATGCCTAACAGAAAAAAGGAACCAAGTCAGACAGAGTATTGTCCTCTGTATCACATAAGCAGTGAAATGCCAGAACACAGTAACCTAAACTTAAGTGTTGCATAAGCAATTCGACTCTCCGAGAAAATGACAATACAGAAGACTGCTCAGGTTGCACAAGAAATAGTGAAATAGAATGAATGGTGTACACAGTTTTCTCGAGAAATATCAATTGAAAACCTGAATTGCTGAATCACACATCTGGATAACCACCATGTAAGTAATATGAAAAGGCCAATAACTACACCTAAATCCCAAATTAGGGTCGACTACAATCTACATGAATCAGTCATTCTACCTGTCATGACAAGAGAATTCATCCTAATATCAGACACAGTCAACCTACACAGCCTTTCTTCTTTATCCGAAATTGGGGCGAACAATGGTTTGCACATGTAAATTTGTCACAACAATGACAACGAAACCATAATTTTTCCAACAATATCAGCTAAAACTCAATCCCAAGCTAGTTCAGGTCAGCAGTATGAATCCTCATCACCATAAGTGCTTCGTTTGAATCCAAATATTTCATTATTCCATACTTAAAACTTATCTAACACTACAAGTTCCCTAATATGCTCTAATGATATATACTAAGAATCCTCTAGTGTTTTTTTTATCATTTGCTAGAACTGACTAGATTTCAAATTAGTATAGATGATTGCCTTCCATAGAAAAAACATATTTTTTTGGATAGATTTGCCAACAGCGAGACTCGAATCAGCTCTTACATCTTCGAACTTATCAATTGATCAACCAAAAAGAGAAAACAGCTCTTAGAAACTACTTATACCTCACAATCAGAGCTATAAATTCAAGCTACAACTAATTATTGCTTCATAATCAAAAACTCAGAACCCAAAGCCCGAAAAGCTTTCAAAATAACACGAAAAAATCGATGTGAATAAGCAAGCTATGATGAAATTTCTAGAGCATCCAAAAAATTGATCTATTCCTTCAGAAAATTAAGTACAACGTACCATAGGCAAGAGTAAACCCTAGGTAGGGGGAGAAAACAGCACATATATTGTTGTTTCTAGCGGGGGGGGAAGAGTTTTAGGCGATAGATTTAGTTGATATCGGAGTCATCGAAATCATCCTGAAAGAGATTGAAGAAGTCGGAGTCGGCGAGACGGAGGTGTTCGCCGCCGCCGAGTGGACCTTCGCCGAACATGTCGATTGCGTCCACGTCATCGACGTCCATAGCCATTGTTGATCCCTGTTCTTCCATGCCTGCTAAATAGTCTACTACCATTGGCTTCATTGTTGATTCTTCTTCTTCTTCTTCTCTCTGCGGTTGCAATTGTAGCTTTGGGATTGAGAATTGTGAAGTGCTAAAGTTCCAAAAGAAGTGTGTACGGGTCTATTTATAGAATGGGAATCGGGTCAAATATGGACCCGACCCGGACATCTGGATTATACCGATTATATTGAGAGAGACAAGAAAAGGAAAAATGAGTCAATTTAAAATTTAAAATATTTGAAGGTTTACACTACTTCCCTTGTTAGTTGTCATGTTTTTCTATTCTTTCTACTTGGATTTACACTTTGAGTCGAGGGCTTTTGAAAACAAATTCTCTACCTTCATAGAAGGGCTTTCAAGAATAATTTCTCTACATTTACAAAAATAGTAGTAACGTTTGCGTATATTCTACCCTCTCTAAATCTCACTTGTGGAATTCCACTAGATATATTGTTGTTATAATATTAAATTAATATAATTTAATTTAGTTTCAACGATTAGTCAAATTAACTTTTGAAAAGCTAAATGTGACCGGTAAAAAATAGGAAGTATTACGTATCTCCATTTTAGTCTTGATTTGATTACCTTTCCATAGAAAAGTCTTGCCATTTTGTTGGACAAGAAGAGCGAGTCTCAGTATGTTGTGAGAAGTCAATAGGAAACTTGCTATCTTTGATGCTCGTCCATAACTATAATATGTTATTCTTTTGAACTTGAGTTAAACCAATTCGAACCTCACAAGCCAAAATTGTGAAGTGAAAAATTGAACCATGCCGAATTTATTTCAGTATGGTAATGATATAATATTTTTAAAATCGAAAAATTTTACCAACTTTGTGCATTCTACAATTACACTATAGAGAGGCTATTTGCGAAAGACCGTAACTAGTGTGACTTATAAATTGCAAATGATAAATGGGACTTATATCAAGTAGGATGTCTGCGTCACATCATTTGATGCGGTCTCTGAATACAACGTGAAGCAATTACTAGTATGGCTTATAAATTGCTAGTATGACTTATGAAGAGGATAGAGTTAAATACAGACCGCTACCTCGAGGAGGCAGAGAGTTATTTCTGAAAGACCCTCGACTATATAATTTATAAATCACAAATGATAAATGTAACTTATAAACCAAGTAGAATGTCTATGTCACATCATTTGATGCGGTCTCTAAACACATCATGAAGCAATTACTAGTGTGACTTACAAATTCCGAATGATAAATGTGATTTTTTTGAGCTATTTGGCCAACGGCGAGGACATTTTTGAGATTTCACCATTAAACGGAAGGCAAAGTTGTTCCATTTCGAATAGTTCAAGGGCAAAATAGACCCTTTTTAGAGCAAGAGTTCAACAATATTAGGAATTGAAGTTGTCCCTTGTTCTTGGTTCTTTGTATGTACAAACATCAGATGCATGTATCTGGTAAAAGAATCAATGGAATCTACAAACAAAATGTTGAACAAGTAAGGTATTTTCTTCAGATTGCAGGATTGAATCATTTCGAGAATAGCTCGACTCTATCTAGGTGGCAAGCAGCAGCAGGATTTTGAAGGCAGTTACAGAAGCTCTCGTCGTCTTTTGGAAATGATGCTGGCAAAGGATGGTCCGGTATTACACCAACCTAGAAAGACGATACACATCAATAACCATATTTGCTCGTGGCAAGTATATATCAGAACGAGAGTGAGAGAGATAGAGAGTGTGTGGACCTTGTCTATATCGTTGTGAGCAGGAGTTTCATACCGAGCAACTGTAACAGCCACGCCAGAGCCATCAGATAGCTGGAATACAGACTGGATTTTACTGTATCAGAAGAAGAAACAAGTAAGAATAGCATTCTTCTTTTGCCAGCTAAAGTGTATTTGCATGTAAGTAATAAAGTTATTACCCCTTGCCATATGTTGGTTCACCAAACAGCTGTGCACGCTTGTTATCTTTCAAAGCACCGGCTAAAATCTCACTTGCACTTGCAGTCCCTTTGTTTACCTGACAAACTTATGGTGCTGAGTTTGGCCCGGGGAGAGTTCAGGGATTGGCGGAATCAGTGTGTGAAGTGTGAACTTAAGTTTTGGAAAGAGAAACTAGAACAACTTTTGGTGAAGCCAAAGATAAACTTAAAATGCTGAAGTGCGACAGGAAGTGAGCCTCTGACTGGAAAGATTTGCAGTGCAAAATACGAATTTCATGTCAAACTCAAATACACCGGAAGAATAGGATCATTATACATCATTAAGCACCAATATTTGATGAATGAGAACCACAGTCCAACCGTGAGTATCACAAAACAAGAAGATGCCATGGAATTTAAGTACACAAGGGGAAAAAAACAAAGAACCAACTCAATTGTCTACCTTCATCATAAAAACCACTTAGCTGAGGTTAGGCTAATCCATGTCGATATAAATGACTAAGTATGACTAAACTTACCAGAACAGCTAGGGGTTCTGAAGCAGCTACTACATTACTCCCATCTGTGTCATAAATATCTCGAACACCACGGCTATCACAAATGTATACAATCACACCTTTATCCAACCTGGTTGGCAGTGAAATCCATTGCATAGCACAGTTTAGTCTTCTTGCATAGCAGTAGCAGTAGCGTCAAAGGGGCAAACATTAAAACGTAAAAGCTAGAGAATAATAATATGCTGAACCAAAGAAAGAAACTTCATTGTATCACTAACAAAGTAATCTCATAATCTCTCTGTTGTGAATTGAAAATATTATTTTGACTTGACTACATTGTATTAAAAGAACTTCTAGTATTTAAACAATATATAGACCTATCTGTCACTCTTATGTAAAAAGAATAAAATAGGGAAAGAGTTTTCATTGTCAACACCTACATCGACCCTTGAAAAGATGAGTAATACTTATTGAGAAATTAGCTTCGAGTACATTGGATCATCAGAAGAAAACTAAGCAGACACTTCAAACTGGAAAATCCAAACACAACAAGCTTACCAAATTTTTGCTATCTCAACTCCTTCAGGGAAGAGACCACCACTGCACAAGATTTCAACTTTCAGATCACAATTAAAGACTGTGAAATGAAGACATGGTGAGAGCTCATCACCTGTTATCCCGAAGGTCCAAGACAAAGGCCTTAACATTGTTTTTCCTTAAGGTTTCAATCGCCTCTCTTACAGCACCTATAGGGAGATTTACATAACTATTTAGCTGGAATTTATGAAAAAACTACCCCGGTGTTTAACTCTTCGAACACGTACTGAAATCATCACATTTCTAGAAATTTTTAGTGGAAGCATGAATAAAATGATAGATATAAAGCGTAGCAATATGAAATGCAGGATTCACTTTCCAAATGATTTCATTGTCATTGACGGAAATGCTATTTTCAACTATGGCATACTAACAGTGAACACACCAGTAAGATCAAGACAAATTCTAAACCATGAAGTGTGTATAACTTATGATAACCAAATCAGAGAGTAGAAAAAAGTTTCTCCAATTTGATGCAATGCATCTGCATAGTGACAAACCACTCCTTAGAAGGGGAAAAAAAGAAGAAGCAAGGCCACTAGTTCAGATAATAGGCGATTTGAGAGTAGTCTGGTTGTCTAGCAAGTAGGATAGTGTTTTTAATAGTAGAAGTAGTTGATAAGATAGTTTACCAGAAGCGTTCTGGTTGAATGTTGATAGTTTGATATATCCAATCAGAGGAGCATCATCTCCTCCAGTGGGTAGCTTGCAGATTCTTGATTTTACAGGATTCAGAGAAACTTTTTCCCGTCTGGAAGACAGCAGATTATTAGTATTTGTTAAGAATATGTATCTCTAGCTAAGAATATAAAAGAGCATAATCATTAAAACAAAAAAACATTTACATATCTTTACTGTAAGAACAGCTAAGGAAGAAGGTATGAGCTGAAACTTATTAATAGATGCATTAATAGCTTCTTCTTTAATACATATAAAGAGTCATATTTAAAAGTAACAGAAGTATGCAGATCAAGAAAACTTTAGAAGAGTTCAACAAGATGAACACACATCAATGGTAGCTGCCTTGTCTCGGATCCATGAAGTACAGTTAGTTCCACACCACTTCCTTCAGGTCCTCTGTATGTCAACAAAAATAACAATAAATAAAGAGTAAAATATATACATATAAACTTAAGTTATAGACCGAATCGCTAGTGGAAACAGTCTACCAACCTGTTGATATTAGGATCTTAGAATCAGAAAATATTATGAGATATTGACCTACAGTTACAAACCTATTAGCCACATGATTCTTGTTTATGAACTCACATGTATGATAGCAGAGTAAAAATACTTTTACTTCAGCGTTTTTTTCTTTTTCTTTTTGATAAGTCAATGTTTCTCCCTCATTAATCAGAAGTCATACTGTTTCTCACAGGAATATTTCCAGTTTGATTCAGTATAATGTGAGAAAAAATTAAGACCTCGCGTTATAGCATGTAGATCCTATCATTAGGTTTCTCAGGTGCAATAATAAGTAAGTAACAACAACAACATACCCAATGTGATCCCACAAGTGGGGCATGTACGCAGACCTTACCCCTACCTTGGGAGGTAGAGAGGTTGTTTCCGATAAAACCTCAGCTTAAGGAAAGGCGTATCAAAGCAGATTGAAAATAAATAACGGAAGTGAAAAAATCATGGCAAAATACTAATAAAAAAAAAAAGCATGGCAATCGTGACAAGTAAGTAAATTCAATAATTTACTGATGATTCCTTTCGTTCAAGCTCTCAATTGTTGTGCTTCACTTGTCTGGTGAACCCAGAATAACATTTCAACTCATCAATAATTTGAACTGTGAAGCATAAAATGACACTGCACTTCAGGACCAGAAGAACACTTACTGTAACCGTTCTGCTGCATCATATATACCCATGTTTTCTGTGCTGGTATTGTCAATTTGTAGGATGATATCACCAGATGAGATGCCAGCCCTATTTGCAGGACCTCCTGGAGAAGCTGAGATAACGACCAGTCCAAAGGCTGATCCATTTTTCCCCGATGGATAGCCAATTGACAACCCTACTCCAGTAAGTGCATTTTGAGTTCCTGACTGCCT